TCGGATTTTTGATTTTCAGTATGATAGCTGTAACTCTCTCTGATCTATTGTGAGCTTCTACAAGGTATGTCGTTACTAGCACGAATCTTAATGTGTCCTAGATCTAGGTCTCATAAACCAGTTAGCAAAGGTTTAAAGCCAATTGTTTCTACTGAAAAATTGTTTGTGGCAATCCTTATGATTCTTTGTTTAATCCAGATCTTTTGATACTTGAGATGAAATTTTCGCGTTTAATACTTGTAGACGATTGAAAAATGTTAAAGGAGACTCTCCAGATAGTTGCTTAAGGCGTTGGAGTTCTGTAAAATGGAGCTGCGTTGAATCGCGAGAGAGGCGAGATTTTAATGTTTAATGTCAGGTGAGTGGTGCTCTGGAAACTCACGAGTGTGTGCTGCCTACCCTCTCAAGCTTCGCTTTTTGAATAAATAACAGAGATGTTGTTGCATGCTGCCATTCCTATCCGCACAATCCGCACGCGTTTAAAAGCTTTGGTTTAAAATACTTTGGTCACCATTCAATTCTGGACTATAGAAGGAATTCTCCGAAAGTCGTGATAAGTCTCACTTCAAAATGTTGTTGCGTATATATTGATTATGTTGAATAGGTTTTCCATGTTTGTCATTTATTAGGGTAATATTTAAAATAAGAAGGGAATTAATTTAAATTTGGTAAAAGTAGAAAGTAGTGAGTTAAAATTGAAAATTAAGATTTGTCTTAGAAAACTTATTTTTTTATCTATATAGATTATAAAAATAAATTATATATTAAAAAAAAACAGTTTTTTTTTTTTTCTTAGATACTTTCGGTGTACAAATATAGAAGAACGCTATATTTGTGAGTTGAAGATAAATTTTATTTCCGTTTGAATATATATATACCTAGAAATCGACAGTTTCTGGAATATTGTATAAAATAGATGTAAAGCCCGAGACCGAGTGTGCGTGTGTGTAGCGTGAGCATGTATAATTCAAATTCATGTGGGCGTCGTGTTCTCGTATCAGTTACCAGGGGCTTCACCAGGTGTTCATTCCGTAGCTATACCAGTTAGACTTGATTTTCGAATTTCTCTTTGGTTGTAGGTTCCTTTCCTTCGAATGAGGATGAGGAATCCGCCGCTATCAGTTTGGAGAATCTTTTCTTGTTCTAGAACAACCTTGACGAACTACCGACATGCGCCAATGAGATATCATCCCAAATCTCGAAGTTTCCACTTTTCTAAAAAAAACTTTATATAAACTTAATTACAAATATTATTGGTATTGAATAAATAGTTACTTTAAATATGATTAATATAACAAATAATAATAAAAAAAAAAAAAAAAAAAAAAAAAAAAAAAATAGATAAAATAATATTACAAACATTTTTTTTTTTTTTTTTTTTTTTTTTTTTTTTTAATCTTATAAAAATAATAGCTGAGGTTGCTTCAGTACTATTCCGTTGGAAATGCTGATGTTGCTGGTTGACTGACTTGGCGTCGCTCGGACTTGGCGTCGATGGCTGGCGTCATGCGGGGTTCAGTGGCCAACTTATATAACATACATATAGTATATATCACTCTATATTATTATTCCACTATTACATGCAATATTAACAATATTATCATTTTCTTATAGTAGGCCTTGGATAAAATAACAAATTAAATGGTAGTTACCTAACATAGACATGCATATAATTTATTTAGAAATGAATATTTTCTTACTTTTGCAGACTCGTTACACCCTGAACCTCTAAGATATTATTTTTCTCCTTTTGGTAACGAATTATTATATAATGGGAGGCTGGTTTGCAATATTTTAAAAGCTTGCATTATTACAGCATTTTTCAGGTGTTCAACATCGTATGAGCTGCCACGCATATATTATCAGTATTTCAAATATCCCCAAAAAATCAGAGATCGAGAAAAGACAAATCCGGGAATCAAGGAGGCCATCATATGGGGTTAACAACTTGGTTCCCGAATATCCTTGATTGAGAAATAATAAATTAACAAAATTCTAATATTCTTACGTCTGTCAAGTTAAGTTTGTGAGGGCGGAGCTCCATCTTGCTGAAATAGTATATTTCACGTACAATTAGCTAAAGATATTTTAACAAGTTCCGATACGATGGCTTCCAAGATTTACAAAGAGCGGTAGAGATTTAAGTTTCCCCAATATACAAAGAATTAGTTAGTTAATGGCTCTCAAAAATAAACAAACCGAGACACGCATCAGCAAACGAGTATTACATCTTCAATTCTTTAGTTTCTTCTTAATTCTAATACTATTGGAACCTACTAAAAATAAACTATTGATCTCTCTAATCATTGTTTTTCTTTTAAAAATACTGCCTTACAGAATTGATAACAAATATAAGCGTTTAACTGAAAAGCTGTATAATCAAGCCAGACTCATACAATTTCATAAACTCATTTACCAGCCGGCTCAGTTCCCATTTTACAATCAAAATCATAAGCCTTAGTCTCATAGTTATAATCAAATGATTTAAGTTTCCGCACCTAGAATCTAACACACTACATCCACTGTATTTGCTAACTGTAAAAAGTATCACCTCACGCATAAACAGTTATTCCTCACACGCGTCTTCAATATCTTAAAACAGCAAACCTTACAGGTAACGTCTACGGGGGCTGTCCCAAAATGCAAATTTCAAACAAGACCCCTGTCAGTCCTCAGCAAACCGAAGAGGGCAATGAAAAAATTTGTTCAATACGGCACTCTATCATTTGACAAAAAGCTGCCACAGTGCATGTCGCAACACCACTTCCCTATCGCTTCATCTTATAACGCGATGTACCGTATGATTTCAACGCAAAATCCGCACACCGTGTAACAGCATAAATAAATTCCGTTTACAGTTTGTTGAACTATTCCCTCAACACTACTAAAATCGATTTTTTTTCTATCTTTGTTGTATTAGTTCAATATTTACAACATCCTAATATTTAGCTCGCTGCTCTTGCAAAGTCATATTATACGATTAAACACATATCATTTAATTTTGTTTTTAAATTATTTTGGCAACTAAGAAACCAATAAAAAATAAAGTCAATTTGACATTAAAAGATTGAATTTCAAGGTGACATGGTGACACGTTTGTTATTCTAATCAGGACTGTATTATTTTTTTTTGATTAATTTAGTATTTTTATATCTCTCATATCTCAACAACGGAGTTCTTTAAAAAGTTTCAAATACATTTTTCTGTAAAATAAAATGGGAAAAATTTATTCATTTTTAAAATTTGCAAGGGATTTCCTATGTTTTTAAGATATTTTAATAATGATGGAAAAAACCGATTAATTTCAATAATCGAGTAACCAAACCAAACCAAACCCAACTTTTTGGAATACCCTGTATGATTTTTTTAAAAAATTTCAAAATATGTAAAAAAACCAAATAAATTATGCTTGTCCAAGTGTTTTCCCGAAAGACCAAATAACAAATAATATTGTAATATTTGAGGGGCGTTTTCAACCTCTTGGAATTTGAGATTCGAGAAACCCCTCCTTATCGAACCTCTACACCCCACAGTCAATCCGTTTGCCAAAAATCAGCTTTAAACGTCAAGCGGTTTAAGCAGAATCGTGATTACTCAATGGTCATATTTTCAATTCAAACCCCTGTATAAATTATATTATTATATTATAAAAATCTTAAAATATGTAAAACAACAAAATAAAATATACGTGTTTAAGAGTTTTTCCGAAAAACTCACCGGTTTTTAAACAAAAAATATTAAGGGATATTTCTCACCCCCTTAGAATTCGAGTTTCGAACCTCTACACCCTAAAGTTTCTTCTACACCCAATCTGTTTTCTAAAAATCAGCTTTTTACGTCAAGCGCTTTAAGCAGGATCGTGATTAATCAATGAGATTTTTCGAAACACCCTGTAGAGATTTTTAAAAAATCTTAAAATATGTAAAAAAACAAACTAAAATATACGTGTTTAAGCGTTTTTTTCGGAAACTTGACCGTTTTTTTAAATAAGAAATATTGTAGTACTTGAGGGGTGGTTTCACCCTCTTGGAACTGGAATTTCGAAAAATCCCTTCTGATCAAACCTCTACACCCTAGAATCAACCTGTATGCCAAAATTGAGCTTCTTACGTTGAGTGGTTTGAGCAGGATCGTGATTAATCAGTATGTCAGTCACTCAAGATTTTATACATATGTATATTAGTATAGACTAGTCGTCTGGTCTTCAAAGTGGCCCAAGTTGTTATTATTTTTTGTAAATCTAAGTTGATGGCAATATCCGCTTCACATTTTTTTTTTATTTCACATAATTTTTTTTTTATTTTTGACAAATTTGGGATTTAGACGTCGCGTTGTCATAACTAATTTCCCAACTCAATTATACATTGGGGGGGGAGCGTCCCCCCCCATCACCCCCCATAGCTTCATAGATCATTTTTCAACAAAATTGACCTTTTGAGTTTTTCTTGTTCATCAAACGGTTGCCGAGAAAAAAATAAATATACTTATTAAGAGCCCGCCTTAAGCCGTTTTCTAACGATTTTTTATTTTTTAGATTAATTAGGAAACACCCTGTATATGCATATCACAGGCAACCAAATAAACTAGTAACCTTTAAAAATTATTTTTCCTACCACTAGCGACATACCGTGTTTTTAGTGAGTACTAAATTATTTTATCAAAATTTCACCATATAAGTTTCCAGGCAATGATTTAGACGTCGCCTTGTCATGACAATTTCCCAACTCAATTATACATTGGGGGGGCATCCCCCCCATCACCCCCCATAGCTTCACCACTGCCTACCTAAATTCTAGTAGAAATATTTGACAACTAGATTTCTCAGTAAGATAAAACTATGGTTTCCCCACGTCGAAATATAATTCCATCTTTGCTAAAGTCTTTAGTATAACTTTATATTTTAAAAAAACAAATAATTATACAAAGTGGCCCAGAGATCTCGAAAATATTTAGATACATATTTTTTAGTCGTTTAAAATATTTATTATCAATTTTCTTAGAAACTGATTACAGCTTACAAACAGCAATATGATTCAGAAGAACACCGATATCAACTATCTAAAGCGGAGCGTAGCAAGATTGCGAATGATACTTCGGAGGTTAATAAGCGTATGCAGTTTTTAGAAGAACGTAGAGAAGTGCAAAAAAGCGATCTGAAAAAAGCAATAATTCAGGTACGTAATGGCAAAAAATAAGTATCACTTCCCATGCTTATAATAAATAATACTTGATCCTTGAGCGCCAGTTTCCTTATAATATCAGTCAATCTACAGGGTGGTCCGAACTGTATTCCGGAAACTTCGGCAGCATATTCTGCAGATAAAAATAAGTAAAAAAGTTCGTATAAATATATGTCCTAAAGTGCTTAGTTTCGGAGATACAGAGTGTAGAAATTTCATTTTTATTTCGATTGTTTCCAAATAATTTCTGAAATAAAGTCAATATTTGGATGAAAATAATTGGTGTCTGGGCGTTTTTCATCATGAGAAATTTGATTTTTATGTCAATATGACTCCTATTTGTAAGGGGCATCACCTACATGGGTTTTAACTGTTTTGAAGTATAATAACTTTTCATCCGTACCTGTATAAAACTACCTACTGAGTGAAAAAATATACATTTCCGTGATTTTCTACGTAAAAAATGTCTCTTGGTAAAAATCGCTATGAGAAACTTTCTCAAGATATTTAGAATGGAAATAGTCAATACATGTAATTATTGACAAAAAATAAAGATGTTGAGTAAATAGTTAAGTAGTAGGTAATTTGACTTCACCCTTTGAATAAGAAGACTAAGGAAGGAGCATAATGCTATCCATGTATTCATGCATGGTGGGCGGAAAAAGCTCTCTAGGGTGGGGATCCTTGACAGTTCTGTTTGACGATTCATTTGACACATTTGAATTTGATTTGAAATTTTGTGGATTTGTCAGTATTTACGGAGCTTATTTTATGTTATTTATTATTTATTCTACTACTGATAGTTGTATAAAGGTAGTAAACTAGATGGAAATTGTGGCAGCACTTAAATTAACAGTGACACTATCGCGATTTATCGAAAAAGACTCTAAAATAGTTGGTTGTGTAGCGTGCGGTAGATCTCGGCAAAAATTGAGTGAAATAATGGAACAACTTTTCGCTAGTAAGTGACTATATAATATACATACGTGTAGTAAACCGATCATTTATGAAATTCACTTAAATTAACTAAATTATATATTTTTCTTGCATTTTAGCTTTTATTTATTACTTGTCAAAGATTAAATGTCAAAGAATTTAGATACGTTAATTTGACTTAACTGCTTCAGTAGCGTATCGGATGTTTGTGGTAATAAATACTTATTATAACTTATCTATTTTTATTAGAATTATATATTTTTATAACAATTTTAATAACTACCAACATTTATTCACAACGTAAAATAAAACAACAAGTTATTGAGTCTGCCCCACGCCTACCCTACATCATAGTTTTACATTTTTTAAATAAAATTAGAACGACACTGATAAACCGGAATTTAAGTCGGCCATATTTGAGGCTCATCGCGGTGTACCTAAGATTTTTGATATGCTCCTTCCTAATAGTCTTCTTATTCAAAGGTTCATACGCATCGGCGTCCGTTTGTCGTTCATCGTTCTGTCAAACCAATAAAATTGAAATACGATCTGTCATTTTTGAAATAAACCAATAAAACTGGTTAAAAACAACAAGAGACAACGTATGACGGATTTATATTTAAACCCATCCATAGCTAACTTAAAAATAATTAGAAACTTTTTTTAGTAAAATAAATAGATTGGTATGGGACGTCATCTGCTTTTCTTCTGTCATCGTCTGTCGAAATCTTACCTGAGAAAAAAAACAGAGTATAGTAGGTAATTTGACGTCACCCCTTTTATTAACATATCGAATTGAAATAGCACACTGAGACTTTTCTGTAATATCCCTTGTATGGTATTTTGAATCATATTATGAAATATCGGGACGATATATCCCCTTAACTTCTAAGCCTACCGACCTACCGAGCCCCCGCGATAGGCCTGTTCCAAACACCGGAACACCGTTTCAACACCGGTGTTGGGCTGACACCGGTGGCGAAATATGGACTATCCGGTGTTCCGTTGTCGACACCGACACCGGTGTTCATCTACAACACCGGTGTTTATCCCGACACCGGTGTTGGTCTAGACACCGGTGTTCATCTACAACACCGGTGTTTATCCCGACACCGTTGTTGGTCTAGACACCGGTGTTCATCTCGATATCGGTGTTTAGTAAACGGGTTAAAGAAGAAATAATGTTAATTAATAAGTTCAAAATAAACCCTGATAATAATAATGTCGTATCGGTGATTATTTTTATCGTTTATTAAAGCGCACAGACTTTAACTTAAAGCTTTCAAATTTAAATATATTATTTTGCCAGACTAATCACTAAAATAAAGTGGAAGCATCAAATAAACAACTATAAAGTAAACAATTGTTTAATCAAAAACAAACAGAAAACAAAACAAAACATAAAGAAACAAAAATTCGTAGCTGTAAAATAAACTAAAAAATATTACATTAAAAAAAAACTAAAAAAAACAAACAAACGGCACCATCGACATCGACACCGTGACCGGTGTTGTAGACGAACACCGGTGCTGAAATGAACATCGGTGTTGACACCGGTACACCGACTGAAACACCGGTGGTCATCAACACCTAACACCGGTGTTCAAATCTCAACACCGAACAGGTCTACCCCGCGACTCATGCAACTTGCAAAGTGCAAAGGCGACCGAAGATTTCGCCTAAGCCCAGCTTAATTACGATACAAATAAGACTTACGTCGCGTCGCGTCGCTACCACACGATGAGTTAGACAGAGACAGAAGACCGTACGTCGCACAGTGGTTCAGATTGCCAAAAAGTGGCGCATAGGATATTTTTAATTTTATTACAAATTCTAGACTTATTAGGTTAATGGCGGATTTATTAACGTGACAAAGATAGTTCAAGAAATAAACAAAATATATTTCAGACTATGTTTGTTTAGTATAAAAATATTAAAAAAGGGGGATTTTCTATGAATTTTATTCAAAAATTAATTCTTTCTTAGCCTTTAAAACCTCATGATAGGATGGATATATATTTGCTTCTAAAATTCAAAAATTTTATTTTAATAGTAATAAGAATATCCGGAAAAAAAATATTTATTTTTCCACTGAGCCGATAAGCGCATGTTCTGATACTGTGCTTTCGTCTGCTTCCCATTAATAAGAAAGAAAGCCACAGCTTCTCCAGGGGTATGTTCCAGGCATTTCCTGATGAAAAGTGGCGACTACTTTCTCTGGAAATTCAAACCCTAGTTGGACGTCTTTTGCCGTCTCATTTTTATGTTCCTTCCTTAAATTAGAAACTGTAGCATATGCCAGAACTTCAGAGGTTTGGTAAGGTAAGAATCTCTAATTCCTAGAAATAAATTGATTTTTCATCTTTGCCATTAAATAAAAGCAATAATGCAATATTTGCAGCATTATGTAAATAAAAAACATGTTTTTTTTTCTGTAAGATATTATAAATTAATTCCTTGGCAATATATACCTTTGGTCTCTTTATTTTATTTTTTTAGGACTTGGACAATTCTGAAAAAGAATTTCTTCTTGAAAGGCCAGGGTCATCAAAAGATTGATTCTCTTCCATTTGAAGTAAATTTTTATTCAGCCAGAGACAATTCTTGGAAATAAAAGTGCTCTAAGTATAATTACATTTCCTCCACTTTTCTGACCATTTATAAACAAAATTTTCAATTTGCTTTTTTTCATCACAAAATGAAATAATTTTATCAATAATATTAACACAAAAATGAAATAATTTTATCAATAATATCCGCTTCTGACCTATTATTAAAACCCATTTTCAAAAACCTCTCACATATTGATCTGCGGCTTATTGTTTCTAAAATAAAAGGAATTGAGTACGGGAGGAACATGTGAGTCTCTATAGTTACACTTTTACCACTCCAGAGTTATTCAGAAAATATTAGTAAAATAATTTAAGAAATTATCCATGGAACAAAAATCAGACTACTGGTCAATTTAAAATTCTAATTTATATATAATCTACCTCGGGGTCTCTTGGGGTAAGATACTTGTGGTAAATTAAACTTGGTATAATACCTCTTAAAAATTATAAAATACAGAAGCGGAGATCTGTGGAGTTCTAAAGATTCGCAATTTCAAAGTTTAATTTTCAAAAAAACGCTCTACTATATTTGTGGTAACTACTCGCTTCATAAAAAAATATTAAAGTTAATAAAATTCTCTTAAAAAATACTTACCTTGGTCTTCAAAATCCATTATAATTTAATTTATTTCCAAGTCTCTGAACTAAGAACCAAAACATATTAGCAACACTAAACCGTTATCAGCAAATAACTGATATATTGAAACTACAAAATCTAACGAAAACAACATTCCTGTACGCTTTTTTATTACGATTAAAAAGTGGATCGTGATAAATTGAATAAATGGACCCATCATCTGTTGAAAATAGTAATATCATTGTTGAATTTTTCGAAATTTTTTTCTTGACCCCTGTTCGTCGATTTTTTTGAATCTGAACCAATGTGCGTCGTCCATCGACTTTAACAGGCGATGTAGAAATCGGCGAACAAAGGCGTTTGCAGTATACTCCAAGGGTAAAAATTATTTTGTTTTCTAATGCAGTGCCACAGTCAGCGTCGTCCAGCGGTAGTGCATATTTTAATATAAAGACCATAAATATTAAATTAATATTGATTATTACAACACACTTCCGTGTATTAACAGTATTTTTATGTATTGGCAACATTAATAGTAAATAATGTAATGTAAAAACGGCTTAAATTCTGACAAAATTGTAGGGCAGGCGCCGCCTACTTTGCCTACCCTGACGAGCCGTCACTGTGTTTTATCATTATTTTTTGTAGAAAAAATTATGATTAATGAAAAAAAAATTCCCAAATTTATCATTTCAGTGAAATAAGAACGGCCGTCTAGTCACCACATGTACTCTTTATCAATGATGACATGTATTGATAATTTCCATTCCAAATATCTGGAGAACAGTTGTCCTTGGCTGCGTGGATTTTTACAAAGATATATCTCTTACGTAAAAAATGGCGGAAATGTATTTCACTCAATATAGCTAAATACAGATACGGACAAAAAGTTATAACACTTCAAAACATATAGGTGGCGTCCCCTACAAGTAGGAGTCATATTGAGATTGAAACATTGAAATTTCTCATGTCAAAAAACACTTAGCCACCAATTTTGGTTTTAGTTCAGAAATTAATTGGAAAAAATCGAAATAAAAATTAAACTTCCACACCCTGGATCTCCACAACGAAACATTTCAGGGCATATTATACGAACTTTCTTACATATTTTTATCGGCAAAATATGGTGCCGAAGTTTCCCGAAACCGAATACAATTTGCACCGCCCTGTATTTGAATTGTAAAACGTTCTACAGGTTGACAAGATTAAACAAGAAACAGGATGGGATATAGAAGCAATTAAGGCATGGGAAGAATCATTAAAAAAACGAGACGAAAACAATGAGTTGATTAAAAAATTTTCGAAAGAAGATGAAAGACGATTTAACGAATTAGACGCGAAACGACAACTACTACAAACAGAATTTGATAATAAATCTTCAGAGATTAGTAAAATAGCGTGCGAGTTATACAATCAAGAAATGATCATTGAAAGAATAGGTAAATATAAGGAAATCAAATCAGCCACGCTTTTGGGTTACAAATAGTTCGCCTGCCTACAGTTGTCTGCCCTTTGTACAGGGTATTAATAATTAGTACATCGTCCAAACTATAGCAGACCTCATGTTCATATACAATTGCAACCTGTTTTTTTTACGATCATGAGGTATCCCAAAATGAAAAAACAATGTTGCATTATTCTTAAATTAAAAGTGTTGTCTTTGTGCTTGGGAAAGACAAAAGGGATGTAATATGTAGGATGTATTTTCTTACAGATGTTTATTTTATGTTCATTACTGCGACTTTATAAAGACCTATTGAGGGGGCCCCCTTCCTTGAGTTAGAACTCACTATACATGAAGACTTTCTTGTTGTAGGGGAAACATCCCATACTCCCATCGGGGTGCTTTCTATACTCCTCCGACAACAGATATTCTTCCTCCGAGGGTAAACACCCTTCCACGGTTAAGCCCCGTTCTCAGAACTGCGACTGTCGCCAGCGACACGACAAAAGAACCAATCAGATTTGTACAAAATTCAAACAGCTGTCAATTTTAAATTTAGTACAGCTCCCATTGGTCGTTTGAAGTGTCAATCAGTGTCGCTGTCGACACGACAAAAGAACCAATCAGATTTGTACAAAATTCAAACAGCTGTCAATTTTAAATTTAGTACAGCTCCCATTGGTTGTTTGAAATGTCAAACTCTGTCGCCCGCGACACGACGTTGTTCTGAGAACGGGGCTTTAGAGTTGGGCCAGAGAAGAAAATCGTAGAGAAGCGTCAAAAACCGTCGGCACTATTGAAGTAGGGGGGACCAAGTTTTGTGACCTTCAAATTGGCGTATGTGACAGATAGCATGTTTATAGTAGTTTATGTTTCTAGCTACACTAAGAGAAATTCAATGAAGGCAAAAGAAATAAGAAAAACTGTACACTGAAAAAACATGTGTTCAGTAAAAAGTATATTAGAAATATTTAGGAATTTGAATATATTTGACATATTGAATAGTAACTATCTTTTAAGATTTAACGGGTTTCCGCGATTTGTGACCGCGTTTTCTAACTTATTCCTTTTAGAGAGACATTTTCAAATCGTATCTGATAATATTGTTTGCTTCGAAATTAATATTTGAAAGTGTGTTTTTAAGGAAAACAATTTTAAGAAAAATTCTAATATTTATCAGCTGTTATCACAAGGGTTAAAACAAACCAAAAAGTAAATATCATGATTACAGTTGAGGGTTGGAACTGGGGTGTTACAACAGCAAAATAAAACACTAATTCACCACAATACACCAAAACACTTTACTTCTGCAGTGCATCAGCAGATTATTAAAAAACATAATATTATCTTTATAATATGAGAACATAGGTGGTAGATTAAATTTACAAGAAAGAAAACCCAGAAAAGATTCAGCGGTTCTAAAAATGTAACCAAAAAAGTTTTTTTTTTATTTTCAAAGTATCTCGGTTATTCTGGACTTGTTTGAAAAACGGTAAAGACAAAATATGCTTCATTTATCGAGGTCTACCAGCCCCTGAAAATATTTGCACTTATTTAAGACTCACCCTATATATTAAAAAATCATATTTTACATAAAAAACCATATTACATTTAAAGATAACAACTTAAATTAGTGCCGCTATTGAATTATATATGCGATAAAATTTTTAATTTTCTAATAGTTTTCTTATCTTAAATATAGATTAATTAATTCAAAAAAAGATTATTTACACAAATAAAAAAATTGTAAGATTTCAGGACTTTATCATTAACAATGGCAACGCTGGCCGTATTTCGAAAACACGTTGAGCTGACAGCATGTTTACCTCCCACTCCAAATTTTTAGGCGGGATTCGTTTTGTTGCTTCTCCTGGTTGGGCCCTCCGTGCCCTTCACACTAGAGATGGGCGGTTATTGGTAAAAAACCGGTTTTAGGTTAACCGGAATTATCTTTAAAAAATAATAACTTGACAAAATTAACCGACACAAATTAACCGGTTATTCAAATAACCTAACCTAGCAAAACTAAATATTTAGTTTTCCTATAGGTTTACTTACCTCTACACTCCATAGGTCTACTTCATATTTAGATAATAAACTTAGTTAAATCGCATGATTAAATAGAGATTGTAGCAATGTAAGTATGTATATGTACAAAATTTAAATAAAAATGCTAACCTCACTTTTTTGAGTAGACATGGATATGATAATAAAACTAGTAATTACTTAACGTGCAAATAAACCACACAACTCACAAGTTCTACAATCTACAACCAAGTTATTTTAATCAAATACCAAAGAAAAATAAGGAGACTGAATGAATAGATAATGAAAGATTATCTTCATTCATTACTTGAACTTCAATTTTGTATTCTTTAGTCTAAGCTTCAAGAGAGACTTCAAACTACAAATAAAATATATTTACGGTGAAACGTGGGTGAAACTGGGCGAAACCATGGAAGACTTTTGAAGAACCGTTGAAAATCCGTTAAAGTCGGTTAAAATTTAAATATAGAATTTAGAGAATCTATTTGAAGTTAGGTTCGTATCACTTGGCTAGCTGGTGGCTAGTAGTAGTCTATGCCATTAGTACTTTGTTTTACGGCCTGACCTGTCAGGGCCATTTGGCCGTTGTTTTGATTATTATCATCAGGGTTCGCCTGATGCCTGATTTAATTTTGACATTTGATGTTTGATGTCATATATTTTCGTTTTGGGAGCGGGAGCGGGATCTCCCGTTATCGTCGTAATATCTGGAAGATCCGTGCCGTTCGCTCCTTCGAAATTTACGATTCATACAGCTAATATTTAATTGTTACTTATTTTAAACAAGTACGATTTTTTAAAAAATAACCGGCTATAGGTTATTGAACGTAATGCAAGGTTATTAGGTTAACTGGTGAAAAAAAAACTACCTTTAAATAACCGGTTATTTTAGAGGAAAATACCGGTTATTAAAAAACCGGTTACTTTTGCCCATCTCTACTTCACACTAGAGGAGCTTGCCTCCGGCTGAGGTACCCGTGAGGTGGAGGCTGGAGAATCTGCCTCCATTTTCTTCACCTCTTTAACTTGGTCTCTCCTTAGACCTGATACCGGTGTTATAATAAAGGATATATCCCTCTTTCTCTATTACCTCCTTGGATTTGAGGTCAATTCCTATTGTAAGGACCTGACCATCCCTCGAATTGATGACTCTCTCTTTCAGCATATCTTCCATAAAACAGTTAATACGTCACAAGCAGCGTACAAGTGAGACGCGCGCAGCATTATTATACATAAGTACAGCTATAGGCAACACCCAAGTGTACTAGATCCAAGTACACTTGGACCGTGTCAACCCGCCTTAAATATGCTATTTCGTTACGCAATGCAGGCAGATATATGAAGGATAAAAAATCAAGGACATTGTTATCTTCCGTAGGGCATAAAATAACACAAATTTCAAATCTTGTTTAGTATCTTTGAATGCTGCAAATGCAAAATATTATTAGTTATTTTGAAAATTATTTTTTACAACATCCATACTCATATTTTTCGAGAATTTTAATTTCAACAATTTTTATTTTAAAATAAACTATTTTTGAACTTAATAGCATCGTTGGTATTAAATTTTCTCCTTGAAATATATTTTTTCCAACCTCTAAAGTCCAGTAACTAAAAACTGAACCATACGCTATATCAATCTTGAGATCAAGTTTCTAATAAAATATTAAATTAACATTTTATAATTCGGTTTTAGGTAAATCTGTTAAACAGCAGGTTAATGAACGTGAAGCTCTAATTGTCCAGTGGAAAGAAGCAGTTAAAATGTTAAAACAAAGGGATGAGGATATCGATGTGGAACGTGACCGTATTTTAGATGCTCAAAACGTATTGGAAAAACAACAAGAGCACCTTTCTGAAGAAGTTCGATTCTTAGAAAATGAACAACGAAATAATCACGAAACGCAGCTAGTATTGGAAAGAATCAACTCACTGAATTCGAGGTTACGCCGTGAGCTTGGCGATTTGGAACAAGATGTATATGCTGCTATTAGCGAGGTACATGGTAATTATGAATTATCTATATCGGGTGTTTCTCAAAAGTGGCTCACCCCCTATATATTTTTTATTTTTTCAGATAAAAAAAATGAGATTTGGTACGTTACTATATCATAGCGATGTGTCGGCATTTGAGTAACACGATTTTGGAGCGGTATTTTTTTGTAACGTCGTGTCGCGCTTCACAACGAATCAGGAACCTGTTCTACAGAACGACGATCATAATGACAACAAAATTATGAATTATTTATAATTTGCAAATAAATTATTTATAATCGTTATTAAAGTTAGCTGGAACCGTAGTAACCGCATAGCGACGTGTTTAGCTCCAGCCGTCGCGATTTCGTCGGTCGCCAGCAGTAGTAACTGGCACTGGTATGTCCGTAGCGTCGCACGTGTTCGCTCCAGCCGTCGAGCTCCTAGAGCCGTAGTTCCGCCTGTCGCGAACAGAAGTAACTGGTAACTGCTGTAACTGATTATTGACCCTCGACCTCGGCGGCGACGTAACTTCGCTCCAGCCGTCGCGCTTCTAGAGCCGTAGTTCCGTCTGTCGGGAACAGAAGTAACTGGTTCCTGCTGTAACTGGCTATCGACGCTCGACCTCGGCGGCGACGTACTTCGTTCCAGCAGTCGCTGGAGCGCTTCTAGGGTTCCGGTTTTACCTGTCGCGATTTGATCGGTTACTACTGGCGTTGGTGCTCCCGTCGCTACGTTACTTTCGAAATAGCAATTTTTGGTATGTACTAGGCATGGTGTAAAATAGCGTTGTTTGAAAGATAAAACGCAAAAGCAAATAAAATAAAATAAAAATATTTTATTTGCCTTTATACATTTATATAAGTTTTATTGTTTATATATATTTTTTTTATATTTTTAAGGTTAGGTTAGGCCAATAAACATTTTTTTTTGACAGTGGTTTGGACTTTGTTCTTGATTTTAACATTAAATATATTATATTAATATACACATAAATATGAGCCGTTGATTTTATTTAAACGAAAATTTGATGAAGTTTTTCTAAAAATGAGATAGATTGGCTATACACAATTATAAACTCGATCTTTGGAAAATGAGTGGCGGATAAAAGTTACATTAATCTACAAATATAGATAAGTTAGATATATTTTTAGCGAGGAACACTTTGGAAGTCGGAACCTCGGTTTCAAAATCGCGGTATTTTGTCGCGGTATTTTTCTGGAACGAAATATTTTGTCGCGGTATTATTATTGTAACGCGACTCATGTCGTGCAACCGGTATTCCCATCACTACTATATCACATAAATTCAGGACTGATTGACGTATTCAATTGTTTTCTGTCACTTTACTGTTTCCCCGGAAATGACTACAACTTTTGATTTTTAAATGGCACCCTCGGTATTTTTTTTTTACTTTATTCGATAGAAAATAGCACTATGAATAGACATATTATATGTCAACTTTTGATATTCTCGCTTAAAAAAAATCGTATTTTAAATTTCAATCTAGTGTGGCATGGCTATGTTAAAACACTAATTTTTAATTAAGGAGCCTTGGAAAAATAGGTTTGATCGTCTAATGTTTTTCGTGTCTTTTCCTGGTTGGTTAAAAGAAGCCCAAATCTTATTTTTAATCATATCTCATTTTTTGCAAATGGAAGGAGGGTGGCTCATTCTATTTTGATTGGCGTATTCAAGAATTGAATACGCCAATCAATCCTAATTTATGTCATATACCTACTAACATACCAAATCTCGTTTTTTTATCTGAAATAATAAAAAAGTTATAGGGGTGAGCCACTTTTGAGAGGCACCCGGTATATCAGTTGATAATTGCATGCATCTTATTTTGACAGCCTTCAATGTCAACATAAATTAATGTACAATTTTATTTTAGAGTCATGCATACAAACGACAGCTTTCGTCTTTGGCTCAAAGTTTGGAAACGGAAAGAGTAAGAGGAAAGAGAATAACTGAAGATATAGCTCAAAAAGAAAGGTATGGTAAACAGGCGATATTTCTTATGCATTTTATACACCATATTATAAAAACAATGGATTGTCAATTTTATCGAAGATTGTCCAGAGTCGACAATTTTATTAACACTGCATTATCGACTTTTTTTTTGGTGTTTTAACAGAATGTCAACGATTTATATTAATAGATGTATCTCTTTGTTTTTTAGCCGACCATACCAATAGGTATGGTAGGCTCGAGGGTAGGCTATTAAGATCTGCAAAAAAAGTTGTTTTAATTTCACTCAAAATGAGTTATTTGGGTCATAAATGACCTAAATACAAAATATTTTCATGGTGTCTGTCCATGGTGGGGGTCCATTTTTTGGTGGGGGTGGGGGGTTGGTAAGGGGGTATGGGAAGGGGTTAAAAATTTTAAAAAATCGTAACTCCAAAATTACAGTAGCTAGCGAAACGCGGTTTTCAATTTAAGATTAGGAGTAATATTTGCAACAAAATTTGTAATAACATCAAAATCAAAGTCGCAGTTTTAGAGATAAAAAAAATTGGAAAAATTCCTTTACTTTGAAACTAAAAGAACTGCCTACCAACTTTTTATTAACATATTTTAGTATGGGCGGCTATACGTGCCTCCCGGCGCCAATTTTTTTAGTAATTTTCAAATTTAAATAACTCGGTTATTTATTTTAAAAACGGTAAACAGAAAATATGTTTATTTCGGACAGATCTACCACCCCTTAAAATACTTGCACTTATTTCTGCGACACCTTGTATATCTACTTCATCATTATTTAAAAGCATGCATTTCCTACACTCAGTGCTTATAGAAATTACTCAATAGAACAATAAATATTAGTTAAAATTAAATAAATTACCTAAATTAAGAAGATATAATAATATAATGGAAAATAAAACACTAATTCACCACAATACCATAGTAGAAGGAAGTAGTTGCACTCTCCCAAATAGGACTAGTTGCACTCTCCCAAATATTTTCTGCCAGTTTTTACAATCTGTCGAATATCGGCAGATTGCAGAGCGTTTCAGTTGATTTCCGTCCGTCGACCTGTGAGGTTCGAGCGTTGCGTCCCAGCACAGAGACGGATTGACAAAAAATTAGTGCCTTACTGTGTGCTGCTGTTAATTGTAGTAATAATTAAAAAAATTGTGCTTTGAGTTTTTTGTGAGAGTCATTTGTGATCATGTTTGTGTTCAGGTTAATTTTCTTATGACTGATTACTACTTAATAATTTGATATTATTTTCATTTAAACCTCAATTTTTTATCGATTTTACTTTTGACAACCATCCCTTGCTTGCTGTTTAACGAACTGCACCATCATTGAACAAAAATTTGCTAGTACCGAAAGTACCGAAAAAAAAAACTGGAAATCCCGGTTCCTTAGAGGCATGGTACCGAAATTACCGGTTCCGAAAAATAGCTCCGGTTCCGGAAACACTATAACGTACCATAACCGTGAATCGCCCTATACAGGGTGAGTCTTAAATAAGTGCCAATATTTTTAGGGGTAATATATTTTGGCCCTAGAAATTTAAGGATTTTTCTGAGCAATATTTTTTTGAAAAAAAAATCTGGAATTTTTTTTAGTTAAAAAACATACTTTCTTGATAATATGGTAACTAAGGTTCAGAACCGGAAATTCCCGGTTCTTTTGAGATATCAAAGAACCGGTACTCGAAATTATCTAATTCTCCTTCGGGACTCGGTAACAATAACTAAAAAATTATTCTTTTATTACGTGAGAAAGTAGTGATGCTATTTCTCATTGTTCTTGCCTCTTTTCTCTTTTGAAATTTCTGTAATGTTTATTAGCTATTATTGAAGTTTAAATATGTTATTTTATTATTTAGTGCAATGTGTTGTTCAGTGTATTAGTTATCCAATGAAAATCACCTAACCAATAAATTACTACAAAACAAACACATTAATGTTAAAATTAAACTTGTTTTAAATTTAAAAAAAAGTTGTAGAAAATCTTTGAAAGAGATAGTAATATAAAAATATGACATTATATATTTTTTCCGCATTTCTTTCCATCAGAAGATTTTCAGTTACAGAAGAATTGTTACTTACACGAAATGTGAAAATATTCTGTTTTCAAGCAAATTTTTTCTCTATGATCAATTTTTTTTTATTTTATTTTATTTTGAACTCATATCACGGCACATAAAACAATCGGCACGCCAACTCTACTCAGATTCCATTGTTTAAAATTTCTATAAAATTTGACCTTGTCGGCGCCATTATGGTTTCCTAGTCAGGGCCGGATTAAAACGCATTAAAAAATTTCTCAGAAAATATGAAAGGGTCGTATTAAAAAAATACTGTAATTGACTGAAACTGAATTTTATTTACAATACTTTTGTCCAAACAAATGAATCGTTAACCGCGCATACTTCTCGAAAAGTAAAAATGAAAAAATCAATTAAATATTTCACTGTAGAGAATAGACAATTAAAATTAAAAAACATGCAACTAACAAAAACATGCCAGGAGTTACAAACAAGAATTAAAAAATACCAATAAAATATTTATTGAACAATATAAAGAGGCTACGTACAAATTATGCCCATCAATGGGCGTAGCAAATTTATTAATATTCAAATTTCACAAATTAATAAATCCACAATTTTTTTTGAGAAACTTCTATTTTTTCATGGCAGGAAACAAAGTAGGTACCGCATTGTATTTTATACGGTTACAAAGTGAATTGGAAACATTTTAAATTCAAAGTGAACAGAACACAACCTGTACTTGTGGGCCTTATTTATATCTTCAATCAAGTCTTCTCCGTTAGCTGCAATTGCCCATGTTCTTGCCCTAAAAATGTATTGTTAACTTGTTACTAATCTATTGTTATTTTCGATATACTCATTTTATTTATTTTTATAATTTTATTTAAATTAATAATATAATTATTTTTAAATTTAATGTTGAATGTCTAGATACAACATTAAATTTTACTAAATATTTAACATTTTAATCTTGCTAATATTTTATATACATATAGGGTGAGTCTTGAATAAGTGCAAATATTTTCAGGGGTGGTATATTTCGACCCCAGGAACACGTTTATGAGTTTTTTTTCGCTAAAAAAAGATATTGAAAATCGTGCATTTTCTTTTAACTTCCCTGTATATTTTTCGAAAACTTTTTAGAACTGCCTGTTCACCGCAAATTTTCCCACGGTATAATTTCTTAATCTCTGATATTACCATAGTTACGGCTTTACTCTATGGTTGCGGCACTAAAAGGGATGCAAATACAGAAAAAATCCGGTGGCTCTCAACTCAACATTTAAAAAAAACATTTTTTTTTAAACTTAAATAACTCGGTTATTTTGGATTTATCTGAAAAAGTAAGGAGAAAATATGTTTCTTTTATCGAGATCTGCCATCCCTGAAAATATTTGCACTTATTTAAGACTCATCCTGTATATAAGTTTGTTAACATTTAATATAGATGCTGAACTTGTATATTTTTAATTAGATCTTTCTATTTAGCTGAATGTCCTAATATGTATACTACTGTTTTTTTAACTAAAATATGTTAAAATAATTAATCACATATGTATATACATACCTAATCGGATCTCTAGGAAACAGAAAGAAACTTTTATTGCAGTTTAGTCCTCTACTCGGGCAGTTTTTGCTGCACAACTTCGCCCAGGCATTTTAAAAACACGTAAAATTAACGATTTAAAAATGTTCAGAAAAACAAAAATAAATTATATAACACAAGAAACGAAAATAAACTAGAAAAACCAAATATATAAACAAAAATAAAACAACAACTATAAAATATAACTCAAGAAATAAACAAAATAAATTAATCCGTACGCTACTGACTCGAATCAGCCGAAAGTGTGCGCAGTCGATGAAAGAAACTACGACACTGGTTACTTTCTGTTGATGGAAACCCTAATGGCGGCGTGCGCGACAGTATGCGCGTAGCGTTCCCGCCAAAGAGAGTTAGCCTGCCGTGTGATTTATATGCCGTGCTCATATTTTCCTAAAAACATCTCTGTGAAACTATGGCGAGTGCCACGACTATACTTAGCCTAGTTATAGACCACGACTATACAGCTACGTCAGTGATCACGGGACGCGAAAACAAGGTCGTATAAAGTGGCAGAAAAAGAACAAAATATTTGACAAGGAGTAAAGCTACTAGTTTCTTTATACTATGACAATACACCAAAACACTTTACTTTTGCACTGGATGCGCATTTCACTAACCATGTTACCATCATCAGTAAATAATTAAAACTGAACTTTTGCACTGGACGCGAAACGCCCACTTTACTTTAAACTTGCCTAAAAGTAAAGTGTTTTGGTGTATTGTGGTGATTTAGTGTTTTATTTTGCTGCTTAATACCAAAAGTTCCAACCTTCAACTGTAAGGTAATATAATGTTGTCAAGTTTTATAGTCCTAGGACACCGGTAGTTATATTTCCGGATATTGTAGTTATACCGATAAAAAAACGAGATTTGGTATGTTGGTATATGACATAAATTAGGATTGATTGGCGTATTCAATTCTTTTCGGTCACTTCGTCACTTCCTGTTTCACCGGAAATGACTACAACTTTTGATTTTTAAATGGCACCCTCGGTGTTTCGTACTTTATTCGATAGAAAATGACATTCTGAATAGAATGACATATCATATGTCAACTTTTGACATTTTTGCTTGATAAAAAATCGTATTTTAAATTTCAATCCAGAGTGCCGTGACTATGTTAAATACACTAATTTTTAATCACGGAGCCTTAGAAAAATAGATCTGATCGTCTAATGTTTTTAGTGTCTTGTCCTGGCCGGTTAAAAGATGCCCAAATCGTATTGTTAATCATATCTCAATTTTTTCAAATGGAATGAGGGTGGCTCATTAGCATATTTGGAAAAACCATTTTTTTACGAATAATTTGATATCACACACTTGGTATTTGAGTCAAATTTTCGTTATGAACCGCATGTTATAATTTCAAATAAACCATATGCGAAAATGTCAAATGTTTACATATGATATGTCGTTCTACTCATTGTGTTACTTTCTATTGAATAAATTAAAAAAATACCAAATAAATACCATTTAAAAATAACCATAAATACCATTTAAAAATCAAAAGTTATAGTTATTTCTGGTGAAACAGGAAGTGACCTAAAACAATTGAATACGTCAATCAATCCTAATTTATGTCA